TAGTGATTCCATTACTTCATCTGTAAAATAGAGAGCCTAACAGTTTCTGTCTCATAAACTATGTCTGAAGGATAAAGTGAGACTGACTATTTAAAGCACTCGGTGATGCCTGGGGTACAGAGTAAATACTCAAATAATAGTAGCAATGGTGGTGATGCATTCTAGAATACACAGGTGACACACACACACACACACACACACACTGTTCAAAAGGTTTTCTCAAGTTGTGGTCTCAAGTTCTTTAATCAGCAACACATTCCTGCCCATTATCAGTAAACAAGTTCTTAAAATCTCTCTTTCTTTATCCCACAACAATCAGAAAAAGAAAGACAAAATTAAAAGTGAAAAATGTTGTCACTGGACCAATTGTTTTGTCTACATGACAGGCTAATCAAGTATGTGGCAGTTTCACTTTCTGAGGTATGAGCTACGAGCTCACTAGGCTACAGCTTCTAGATGGTTCCAGAGATGGCCATTTTATTGGACCTTTATGATTCTGAAATTATGTTAAATGTGTACAAATTTTGCATGCAAGAAATAGTCTTAGCTAAGAATAATGGGCATGAAATAAAGGTTCAGCACATTAAAGCCCTTTCTATTCAACAATAATTAGCATGTTTAAATACAATATAATTTTTATCCATCTACAAAATGCTTAAATGTTTGGAATCTCGTTTATGTCTATAATGACAGATTCATTTTTGAGGCAGTCATTTTCAATCTTGATTTGTATATTTTAAAGTTGTTAAATGCTTGACTGAATCATTAGCAAAACAATTCATGTGTCATTAAACTGATTTCTAACATGAGATCATTTTCTTTCTTGTCCAATAGATGTGCCTTTTTAAGATTTACAGAGATAGCTTTTATTCTTGTAGGGGGGGTTGCAAGGGGGCGGGTGGGGGAATTGTAGACGAGAGCTTATCACACTAGCTAATTTCACCGCCTCCCTCTAGCCTCCCCAGACACTCCCTTAAGAGACTCAACCCCACAAGGTTCACTGAATGAATGCTGGAGCACACTGGCAAATGCATATCTTAGGTACTAGCAAAGAAAACAGAACACATGGAAGGCAAACGGAGGGCAAGGGGGAAAGAGAAATGGATGCAGGTAGAGAATGAGAAATCCTGGCAACCTGTAGGCCTTAGTCAAAACAGGAACCTGCCCTGCTGCCTCCGCGTTCCTGCTTCCCCACCTACCCCAAGGCTGGTACACGTTGCGTTCTCTCTCTCTCTCTCCCAACACCGTCCCATCCACAACCAGGTCTGGGCCACTCTTGCGCAGGATTGCAGCTACAGAGGCCTCGCCGGAGGCCAGGCTGCTGCAGTGCATGGGCCATGCCCGGCTGCATCTGAAACAGTTCACTTTTGTCTGGAGAAGCAGGGTCTCCCCCTCCCCCGCGCGGTGGAGACAAACTGGGGAAAGCAGGGGCTGCTGGGGCAGGCCCCTGGGGGCTGCCTCCCCCCCGCCCCCCTCCCCCCCCAGGGGAAGAAGCCTGGCCTGCACATGGCCCCTTCCCAGCCTTGACAGCCCCAAGCAGACCTTTGAACTTTCTATTTATATAACAGTTTAGTGAGTTTAAGTCTCTTCCTGTAGAACTGCCCGTGTGCAAGCTCGCCTCTAATGAGGCTACTTGTGAGACATCACTTAGAAACTACAAACGATCGCTGCCGGGCTTGGAGCTTCGCAGTGAGGAGTCAGCCACCGTCACCACTGCTTCGCCACCATTTTCACTAGACTTTTCTGCAGTTTGATTTTGCTGTCATGGTGGTTTGCTTTTCATTTTTGATGTTTAAGGATGTGTCCCTTTCTGTATCTGCCTGTCCTTCTTTCTTGCTATTTTTTTTTCAATAGTGAACGGAAGACAAGCATCCCCACAAAGGACCTTGGCCTGTCACAAAGCGATACCTAATCAATACGGGGGGGGGGGGATTTGCTCATAGGACTGACACTTGGTAGGCCCTCTGATTTTGCTTTTATACCCTCTTAAATGGGGATTAATGACATCCCCACTGGTGGTAAACAAGCCTAAATCTAGCCACAGGATTTCCAGATACCTCAAGAATTCATTTACTGGTTTACCACAGGCAAATCTATAGAATGATTTAAACAATCACATTTCATTTTTGTTCTTTATCTTTTTTCATTTTCTTTTAAGAGCAATGGTGTTTTTGGCGCACACAGACATCTGCACCTTCCTCTTCTTTCACAGAATGGTTCATATTAAATTTATACTCAGGTGAACATTGCTCCTTCATCCAAGAATCTTAAAGAACTTGTGCTTTGGCCCTTTCATCGAGTCCAGAGCATGACCCATTAGGATACTTGTGCAGTGCGTGAAATCCAGGGGTATGTTCCTTTAGGCATTGAGCGCTCCCAGACCCAGCACGGAAGCACATTGCAGCGTCATTCATGCCCCATCCTTCCCATTTGCATTCATCCTGACAAATGTGTGTTTATAAATGCGCACGGACTTCTTGTTTACTCTAGTAGAGTGTTTGCAAATAACACATATGCCTGTGTATGTAAAGTCTTCCTTCATTAAGTCTAGGTAAATGAGTTTCTTTTTTAGCTGGCCTGATCCGTTTGTTGTCAGACATCTAGGGTTGCGGTACACATAGCTCAGAGTTTTCTGTTCCACAAGTGAATGCTGAGAAAAGATCCAATGTAAATGAGACCCTTAACTTGACTGGCGCCTTTTTCCTCCTTGGACCTCCTGGGGGGGGGGCGGGGAATGGATGCCAGCACTCTAAGCAGCTACTTACTCCCCAGGAAGGGAAGTGAACATGTAATGAACATGTAATTGACATGCTCTAGATGGCCACAGAGTTTGGAAAGGTACAGATTTCCATTCAAGGCACTATCAAGCTTTTTAGTTCATCCACTATTGTCACATTTATGTTCCCTGTTTTTCTGGGGGAGGGTGAAAACAGATGCACAGACCTCATTACAAATGTTTACACACAGATTCATAAGGAAGTTTGCCCCTCACAATCACAATAAGAAGGAGAAATTTTCCTGGAACATGTGCACAGAAGGAAAAGGCCGGCTTATTTATGCAGATGTATTACATTAATTCATCCATATTTCACATCATATCCACAGAGTGTCCAAGTCTGCATGTTTCTTAACTGATGTGGCATAGTTACAGAACTGGAGGAAAAAAGGTTTTGGATTTTCCTTAAGAGAAAAAATAGTCCCCAAATGGGGGGGGAGAACCTGTCTTTCTGAAAAAAGAAATCAAAAATATACAACTGCATGTTTCTAAGATTAAACTGAAGTTAATATAATAAACACGTTTTTTAAAACCCAGTACCTCGGATATGTTTAACATTTGAACTACACCCACAAAATCAATTATAACAACGTCTGTTAAATTAACGATGTTACCCACACCATATATTAGGCAAATTGTATGCAAATAGTAATGCTGTGGTTATCAGTTGTCTGCAAAATAAATTAATGAAGCAGAGTAAAGGCTGTGTGCAGGAGCATAATATCTAATTGAGAAGTAATTTTATTGTGATCTTTACTTTTAAATAAAATCATGGTTATTAAAAATTGTAACAATGTTTCTCTGCAGGGCTGATAAAACCCTGCATGGTATCAAAAATGCCTTACTGATTAATACTGATACAGTGTAATTTGTGGCTTCAAGGATTTACCCGGAATTGCTGTAAAATAAAATGTATTTAAGTTGTGATTATCTTGGATTTGCAACTAGAAGAGTCATGATTGGCATAATGAAGCTATTGGCTAAGAGTATGACCCTTTTCTAAAGAAGGAAATTGCCTAAAATATCACATCAGCAAGGGAAATCCTTGTAAAAATACACAGCATTCATAGCCAACGGCTGCTAGCAGTTTAACATTGCAGAAGATTTCGCACAATCGGTAGGTATTGTAGATTATCCTAACTACATTTAAAAAGGCAATAACCAAGGATGCAATTCTAAATCGCTGCAGCCGCATCCTCCCCCGGTCTCATTCCACGGGCTGGGGGGGGGGGGGAATTGATATGTTAAAATGTTGTGACGGATTAACAATAATAACGCCTGTGGCAGAAGATGGAGTTTTTAAAAAAGTTAATAGATATGTATATCACTATTTATGCACACGCGCGCTCACAGCATGCAGTGAGTAACAACTTTCAGGCTCCCCGGTCACCTTTGCACCATCTTTCAAAACGCTCTCAGCGACAAGTTTACGTATTTTGGGAAAAGCTGACTAAACCTTTGAATCCGAGCTGGGTGCCCATTACACAAACCTGCGGCTGCCTCCCAGTGGGGGCGGACAGTGGTCCAGCCGGTAATTAAATGTGCATACACGTTGGAGCAGCCGACTTCGGGGGGCCAACTTCAAAAACCCTCAGTCTTGAAAGCCAACGCCGAAGTCGGCCCGGACCCGAGGTCCCCCGCTTGGTGGCCCCCGAAGCCACCAGGCGCCCGAGAGCGGGGAACTTGGGCTGAGCGAGTGGAAGGGAAGGTGTGCGCGCGGCGCGGGTAAGGAGGTGGCGGCGGCGGGGGAGGTGGCCGCAGAGGAAGCGGAGGCCGGCGGCACCTTGCCGCCGCCTGACCCCGCGGCCGGCGGCCGGCGCTGGACACCTGGAAAGTTGAAGCATTTGGGGCGGGCAGGATCCGGTGTGCGGGGAGACCGGCCGGGCCGGCGGTGCGCAGAGAAAATCCCCGCGGAGGTCGTGCGGCTCAGCCCGCAGGCGGCACGGGCTCCGATTTGGGCCAAAGGCAACTCTTTGGACTTGGAGTGCCAAGCGACGCGTTCGGAACCCTCATCCCACCCTCTGCCCGCACCTCTCCCCCCTCCCCCACCCACCGGGGCACCCGACCGCGGAGTCGCGGCGCCGGGGCCAGAGGTGGCTGAGATCAAGTGGGAGGGCGTCTGGGGCGCCCCCACCACAGCCCCAGCTTCCCTTAACAAAGGCGAAAAGCCCAGCCCCAGCCGGGGGACCTGCGTAGCAAGGAGAAGGCAAAATTCAACACCTACCACTGCTGCTCCAAGTCCCAGTCCCTGAAAAAGTCGAATAGATCCATAGCGGCCGGGCGGCGGCGGCGGCGGCGGCGGCGGCGGGCGGGCGTCCGTCCCTGCTCCCCGCGGGTCGGCGCGGCTCTCGGCGCGGCTGGCTCGCTGCTCTCGGCGGCCCGGCTCTCCGGCCCTCCCGCCCGGCTAAAAGTGCCCAGGCCGCATCGGAGGCGGCGGCGGGCGCCGGGGGTGCCGGGTCCTGCGCTCCGGAGCG